GGCTGCTTGGTCAGACTGTTAGGAAGGTAGCAGTACATTGTTTTCATCTTTGTATGACCAGAACTAAGCACAGTGCCTCATGTAAAATAAGGTCTCAGTAAATATTTTGATGGTTTTAAGAGATAGAAACTGTATTTACAATTGGCATCTACTAAATTTTCTAGACCATCTAAGAATCATCTACTTGAGATAAAAATACAACTGTGTGACAGAACGGAAAAAATACTAGACTTGGAAGAGATCCAGACTCAATTCTGGTTTTACCACTGTGTCTGTACAGCTCGGAGCAAGTCTCCTAAATTCTCTAGGTCTCGATGTCTTCATCTGTAAAATGGAGTGATTAATACTTTGTCCATCTTCCTCACAAAGATCTTGTCTAGTTCAGAATGTTCTGGAGACAATGTGAAACCTAGAACAAATGTGTAGGAGCAGCATTCGTGGGTGTAGTCAGTCCCAGGGCTGCCGTGAGCCAGAGCAGACTCAGTGGATGGCAGACTCCATAAGGAGCCAGGCTCAGGGAAAGGGAGGTGGAGGTGTCTTGGTTATCCTCCAGCAGCACGACATGGCAAAGCCTATCCCTGGATATGGCCGTTGGGATGGGAACAGACAGACCTAACTGCAGGCCACAGGAGAAGTCCAGTTGGATAAATGGAAGATCAGAGCCAGAAAAAAATGGTGAGACAGCAGATGTGGTTCAATGAGGGTTCCCAGGCAGATGTAGCACAGGAACAGCTAGGGACACTCTAGGAAGAGTAGAGGAAGGTGTGTCAGTTTCGGGGAGATGTGGTGGCAGGCTCTCGCCATAGGCTGAGGTGCAGGAGCCAGGCTTCAGGCTCTGGTAAGACAGGTGAGAGCAGAACAGGGCTCTGTGTTACAGAAGCAGGGGCCCTGGGCAGGCTGACAAGAGGGCACTAGTTAGTGAAGCTAAGGTCTATGTGGAAGACCTCACCACAGAACCGCACCTGTATGAGCTCCAGGCCAGGGTGGGACCAATATTATCAACTGACTTGAGTTCACTTGAGCCTGACAGCTGGCCTAGTGTCCCAGTCTTCAATTTCCAGGGGCCCTTACTAAGGTGCTCTAGTGATGCAGTGCCTAAGGCATTTGACTGCTAACTAGAAGCTTGGTGGTTCAAACCAACCACCCGCTCCTTGGAAGATGGGACAATCTACTTCTATAAAGATTTACTGCCTTGTAAACCCAATGGGGGTTGCTATGAGTCAGAATCGACCCAATGGCAGTGGGGTTTTTTGTTTTATTTTACTAAGTACTAGCAGGACATACAGGAGCTCTGCTAGCATAGTGCCTAAGGCACTTGACTGCTAACCAGAAGGCTGGTGGTTCAAACCCACCAGCCACTCCTCTGGAGGAAGATGGGGCAATCTACTTCCGGCGTGATACTGCCTGAGAAACCCAAGGAGGGGTCGCTATGAGTTGGGTCTGACTCGACAGCACATAACAACAGCAGGACATACACAGGGCAGCTCGTGGAGGCCCTCCCAGCTCAGGCCCAAGTTACTGGACTCAACCAACTAACAAACATACCACTGTCAAAACAGATACCAAGATCTCTGCTTTAAACCAAGAGGGAGCTGAATGGGAGATGGCCAATGCTGATAAAGATACAGACATGCCACTGTCTTTCTTCTGCTTCTCAAGAGTCCCCAAACCACCAGTTCTCTCACCAGCTGGTGCTTCCAAAGGGCATGTCTGTGGTGAGGCAGACTCTCCCGCTCAATCTGCAGGTTTTGCAGGTAATTCTCATCATGGCCTCAAGCTGCTAGGTGTCTCCTCTCAGAAACACTCTGTGCTAGAGAGAGGCAACCCCTGACTCTGGCGTGGGGCCTTCCCTCCTGTCGTCCCCAGGGCCTTTGCTCAGACCCTTCTCCCTGCTCTCCAGCACCACGGACGCGCAGTCCAGCTTGCTTTGCTGTTTAAGCCTTCTTCCAGCACAACCTCTGCCCCCACCCACTGCGCTCACTCTTGCCATCAGGGAAGCAGGCATGATGAGCAAGGAAGGGAGAGGAGTGAGAAAGACCTCCAAGCTCTGGCACTTCCCCTGCTGTCAGCATCAACAGGCAGCGGCGCAGTCCTGAGACAGTCAAGGGTCCACAAGAAGAGGAGGGAGTCATTCCTATGGTCCTGTCCCAGCCCTGGTGGCCCATCCCCTCCATGTGCAGAGGGGCTCACTGCCTGCCTTAGGCAGGAGGCAAGTTCTTGGCATTTGGAGTTGGGATTCCTAGTACATTAGCACCTTGGTGATGGGGATCTGTAGTTAGTCAAAGGTGGCACTCCAGAGATTTTTGTTGCCTATACAGAGATCTCTCACACATACACACACACACACACACAAAATCAGATCCCATAAAAAAGCAAGCTTTCCTTCTTTCATTAATTAAAAAAAACTTACTGAGCACTAACTACATGCAAGGAGCTCTGGTAGCATAGTGCCCAAAGCACTTGACTGCTAACCAGAAGCCTCGCGGTTCAAATCCACCAGCCACTACTTGTAAGGAAGGCTGGGCAATCTAATTTCGTTCAGGTCTGACTCGACGGCACATAACAACACAACTACACGCAAGGCAGAGTCCCTGGCCCTAAAGGAGCTGAACGGGCCAGAGGCAAGTATGTAAACAGGTAAAATCCAAAATGACCAGGGCTGTGAAGAGATCAGTGGTGAGTGCCGAAAACATGCCAAAGAATTTCAGCATCTCCATAAACTGGGGACAGCACAAATACACTCAACTCATGCATCTCTGCGTCTGGAAATACACGTAAAGGTAAGAGAAAATTGAGAGGATTTAGAGAGTGACCTATACACCATCAGCCCTTGTTCATAAGGAATGAAAACCCTTTAGGCCTAGGAGAGGTGATGCAGGCTCAACTTCCATCTTCAAAGAGTTCTTATCTCTTGCAATGTTTTTGCATCTCAGAGAAGGCTCTGGCTGTGGGGGTTCACTGTGGCTGGACTACAGGGTGGATCCCCACACCTGGAGGCTGGTATGAGCCCCATGTGTGTAAGTCACAGGTGGGAATCTACCTGGTAGGACGAGGAGAGACTGGGAAGGGCTTGACCCTGTACTGGGCAGGCCACAGCAGGCAGTGCTTAGGGAGGGGACTGCCCCAGAGAACGTCGTCTAACAGGCACACTGGGCAGGGGTCAAGGTGAAGCAGGAGAAGTATGCTTCAGTGAGCTCTCAAAATTGCTGTAATTGTTTTTACAGGAATAAGTAAATCCCTGACCATGGCATTGCTGAATATGGGCTTGTTTCATCAAGTTCTCTTTTCTGTGTCTCAGTTTATTCAGCTATAAAATGTAATACTAGCATCCACCTCACACAGATATGGGATTAAGTGAATTAATCCATGGAAAGCACTTGGAACAATGCCTGGTACACAGTATGTGCTCAATAAGCGTTAGCTTTTATTATCATTTATTTTTTTTCTGAGGGTGGTGGCGGCAAGTAAGCTGCTACGCTCATTTCAAAACTAAAGTATTCTCAGTGGTTTCTGTAAATCACATTTCACTTTGCCTGTGGAAAAAAAGGAAATGTAAATTATTTCAAATAGGCATAGATTCACTTTAAAGCTGTTTATTTTTTAAAAACAACAACAAATCAGCACAGTAAAAACTGCCACACAAAATGACTATCAATGACAAGTGCTCCGATCGATTCAAGTGTACATGTTTAACCACCCCAATTAAAGACCTTTGATTTCCCTCGAAGCCTTTTTAATTCTAAGTTTATATAAAATTAAACAGGAAACTATTAACATTAAAGGAAAATCAATTCTGCACAAATAAGTGTGATCAAGCAGCTTAAATTATCACCTGAAATATGGGTACTTCAGAGAAAACTCTGGGTTGACAACCTAGAGGTGCTATACAAAGATTCACATAATTTTGTGGGGCGTGTCTCCCATCACCTGTTCTCCACATTCCTTTCATCAAGCCTGCAGCGAAAAAAATTGAGTGGATGTTTTCCCAGGCAGTGGACTTATTTTTATGTACATTTCTTTTCTTTTTGTGAATTCAGAATTTCTGAAAACAGAGGCTTAATCACTTGGTGAAGTGTAAGATGTTCAAGGGTAAGCTGCTATGCTGTTATGGTTAAGCCTCGTCCTTTCTCTGGGAGCCCCAGAGGTCATCACACCATCAGATCATTCTCTTCTCCACGTGAGGGAAACACACACGCGGACACTGAGGACCACACCAGAGACGAGGCACATGAAGCTCGTCCTCTCCTGAGGTCCTCAGACTTCCTCTGAATTTTGAGAGAGTTGTGTATCAGAATATGTCAACTCACAGCAAAAGACGACTTCGGGGAAATAAAAATGTGAAAAACTACCTTGGAATTGAACACTGAAGAGCGGTGTGTTCATTATTGTGCACTGATAACCAGTGGATTCCTATTTTTATGAGCTGCAATGGAGCAGGGCCTTGGCAGTTTAACCACTCTGTGCCCTTCCCGAGTCTATAACCTACTAGATGGGGACCGATGTCCTGACAGGAACTTGCCAAAGACAGAAACGTAAGCCCAGCAATAGGACCAGGTAGTATTTGTACTTTTGTTGGCACTGGTGCCACCTTGGGTTCAACAGCAACTTGAATCCCTGTGTGAAACATACTTTTATTTTAGGTCAGATGCTTATCTGTTACTTTTCAAAGTATTCTGATTACCAAACTGAGCCAGAGGAATGAACATAGTATTTCAAGAGGAAAATCATACATTCAGAAAATGTTATATTGTCATAATCAATTCACAACATTTCCTGGGCACTGATAGTTATAACACATTCAGTCATAAACTACCAGAACCATTGCTATGACAACTGGAAGATGCAGAGTGAGGAGGCCATCACTGGCATCTCCATCCTTTCAGTGGGTAGCACCTTCTGGGCCTGGACAGGCAGCTGAAGACAAAGATTTCCTGTGGGCTCAGACAGAGGGTGGTACCGCCCTTCTCCAGGGACAGGAGGGGCCCCGCCTTGGAGAGCCTTTAAGTAGCAGCCTCTAAGAACTCTGAGGTGAACACAGCTTCAGCATAATCTTCGCACACATCCTGAAGTTCAGCAGCCACGGCCCCCAGAGCTTCATCTACCAGCTCTTCTGAAAAGCTGGAAGACAAACAACACAGCTGAAGGTACGTATAGCCAAGTATGGGAGCCATTCCTGTACTCGGCTGGGGAACTTAACAAGCCAATTCTATAAAATTTAAATGGAAATTCAAAAGGCCGAAAATAGCCAAGATATTTTTGAAGGAGAAAAACAAGGTGGGAGGACTTGCTCTACTAGATATTAAGACTGGTGCTTGGAGCCCCACGTACTGCTAGAGGGAAGAGGCTGTAACACGCAGGATGGTCGTCACCCTCAAGATATTTTAATCCAGCAGGGGAACTGAAACTAGCTGCAACCCCCACCCAGAGCCACCGTTCACAGCTGTCCAGCTGTCTGACAGAGGAAAGGGTGCATGTGCCCTCCCTGTGGGGGTGGGGGGGTGGTACTCCAAATCTGTGTTTTCTTTCTCTTCACATACTCACAGAAGCACACAGAGAACTACTTTTCCCTGAATAGCTTGAAAATTAATTACACACTTGCTCTCTCAGTGTGTATTGCCTAAAAACACAGTCAGGGTGCAATTATAAAAATCATAAAATACAATACTATCTAATCTTATCTACAGATCTCATGCAAATTTTGTCACATGTCCAAATGATGTCCTCTTTAGCAGAAGGAAACTGTTCCTAATCCAGGACTCCATGCTGTATTTGTTCTTATGTTCCTCTAGTCTACTGTAATCTGTACTAAGTGTTGAGTCATTCTTTGTCTTTTATGACCATAATGGGTTTTTTTTTGAAGAGCCCAGGCCTTTTCATGCAGAAGGCCCTCACAATCCGATTCAGGGTGTGCATGTTTGGAACAAACCCCACTGCAGGGACAGTGTGTCCTCTTCACTGCACCATCATCTCTTTGTCCCACTGCTGGTGAGGCCAACTTTGATCACTTGGTTAAAGTGATGCCTGCCAAGGTTTCCCCTTGTAAAGTCACTATTTTCTCTTTGTCATTAATTAGTCTATTGCAGGGAGTTATCCTGTCTCTCATCAAACTTGCCTGAATCAGTTACTACTATGACAGTTGCCAAACAGTGATTTTGGTCCCATCAATAGCTTTCTGTCATGAGCTTTCCTTCTCCCTTATGCGTTCACTCACTCACTCATTCATACCAATTTTTCCTTACAGACTCTTATTTTATTCAACAGTTTGTAATCTGTTCCTATTAGTATGTATTTTGAAGCTTAGATTATTTCAGATCTGGCCAGTAGGCCTTTCAAACTAGCTCCTGTGTCCTGTTGATAAGACCCCATAATTCTTTGAGTGCTTCCTTTCTGGGACAGCATGATGTTCCAGGCTCATCATTCTCCCAGCCCCAGACCCACTGTTGGTATCTGCCGTTTCTCCAAGGAGCCCTCATACTTTTTCACAGACAATAGTATTTAGAAACCCAGGCCTGGGTACTAGCTGTGCTCACGGCTACTGGTGCCACTGCTCCTAGCAGACAACATACACACATACATTTGCATCTACCTATCAAAAACCTAGTTCAGCTCCACTTCGACACCAAGCATTCATTGTAGCCTTCAGGCAGAAACCTAGCTCTCATAGTCACAATATATTTACTTATTTGACTAATCCTAAAATGAAGTAGCTTTAGAACTGCTAACCCATACTACAGTGACAAAGGAACCTAGTAACTAGAGTTCAATATGGGCTTAGAGTTCTTTTTGTCTTTACTCTGCGCACATAGTCAAAATGTTGTGTTCAAAGTTACTTAGCTTAGTCCTTACCGTGCTCCGCCCTCCCGCCCCCATATGATTATGTCACTTATTTGAAATACTGTTAGGTTTATCTCTCTGTACTCCAATTTAGGGTTCCCTCCATCCTTGTTAATTTGGGGTATGTATAGAGAACGTTAACATGGTTCCAAACATCAAAACTGTATGAGAAAGCGTATGCAGAAGGTGCCACCAAAACGTCACCCCCCTCTTCTATGCCCTCTACCCATTCACGCCCCAGCCGGGTGGTTGGTTCCGCTAATCTTCTGTCTTTAATTGGCATGCACAGGCAGGTTCCCCAGTTACAAAAAGATCAGTTCCTGACTGTGTCTTTAGGTGGAATTTGTAGGTGAGCTGGAACCAGGGCATATGGTTCTCATTTAGCCTTCCTTTAATGTAAGAAATGGCTTGAAGCCTTTTCAATGATTTAAAAGCTTGCACATGCAGCAAGTGAAGGTGATTGTGATGGAGAATTTGGTACAGCAGGGGCTGGTTTCAAAGTGAGGGCAAATTTACATAACATGAAAGGGCAAGTAGGAGCTGTCAGCAATTTGGATGTTAGTAACACAGGGACTGCCTGTATAGCCCTTTTCCATTTAACACAATTCTGATCTATTTGGGTTTAATCCTATAACATTACTAAATATTTTCTACTTGTCTGTCTTCTCTTCTGTATTTTGTAATTTTTATTATTCCAGTCCTTCCTATTAACTTGGATTTATATTCCCATTCATTTAGTGCCTACTGTAGATTATAAGCAGCCTTGATTTAAAGTCTAACATTTATTGATAGTCTTACCATCACTCCAGACAATGTAAGAATGTTAGAATACTAACTCCACTTACACAATTCCTGATGTATGTTATTGCTATTATGTGTTTTAACATATACATACACACACACCCCATCAGACATCAGCAGTCGTGGTTTGCACAGGCAAAATTCATTTACCTATACATTTGCCCTTTTTTTCCCTATATGCCTTCCTATATTTCTGCTTCCATCTGTGACCATTTTCTTTCTGCTTAAAGAATACCTTTTACCATTTCCTGTAGTGCAGGTTCACTGGTAATTTCCTCAGCTTTCCTTGTTTGGAATGTCTTTCTTCAACTTCCTTCTTAAAATACATTTTCACTAAGTTGATTAGTAGTCCAGATTGGTAAGTCTTTTCTTTTAGCACATTTACAGGTATGTCAGGACTTCATTTTCTGTTTCTTTTTTTCTTCTTCTACCTAATTTTAAGATTTTCTACTTGTCTTTGTCTTTCCAACAGAGCCTTCTGTCATCTTCTCATCACTGAGATGCTCAAATTTCAGTTTCATAATGTGAATGGATTATTTTGAATAATGCTCACTCACAGTGGGCAACTAACTTATGGAGCCTTTGTTATCTAGAGACTAACAGCCTTCTGAGAAGTTCTAGAGTATTTCTTTGGCAACTTCCCTCCTTCGATTTTCTTATTCTCACATCCTGGAATGACTGTTACTCAGATGTTGGATCTCCTACAACAAGCCTCTACTCTTTAAATATTTTCTCCTTTGTTCTTTTGTTCCACTCTCGGAGAGATCTGTTTTCTTTGCACTCCTCTAGTGAATTTATTTCAGCTGTCATATTTTAATTTTTAAGAATATTTTAAAATTCTTTGAAAGTTGTTTTTTTAAATACAATTCTGTTCTTATTTCATGGTGTGATAACTTCACTTAGTTCTCTAAGAAACTAATTTAAAAATTATTATAGTTTACTCTGCTGCCTGCATTATCTCTGCTTCCTTAGAGTGCTTTTGATCTGTTATAATACCCTGTCTTGTCTCGCATGGTTTTCATCAAATAGCTGGTCATTTAGCTGTCTGCTCGTATTCAAGGCTGAGGATTTCACCCAAGTCTCCTGTTTGCAAGCTCGCCCATGCCTTCACAAGCATCTGGTGCTTCTAACCAGGAGCTCTTCTGCACAGACAAACCTGGCTCTTGGCTTCAGTCCCACTAGGCACTTGGCTTTCTCTGGTCAGGTAAGTCACATGCCATTTGTCTAACTGCTTTATGGCTTCCAAAACCGTATTGACATTTGTTCACTGTCATGCAGGATTTCATAATTTGTATTTTTCTTTTCAGTGACATACAGTGGGACTGGGGTTGCAGAGAGAAGAGATAAACATGTTCAACCTGTGCTTTTCCACCAGACGTTTCTCGATTTGTTTTTTAAACCAGGAATCCTTAAGAGTTTGTCTTCATCAAAAACACTATCACCTTAAGCCATTCCTAATTATTCTTTTATCTGTATCCAGTTTATATCATCTTCTCCCTCTATTCACCAGACCAGTGGGTGTTTTTTCTTCTTCAGGTATAAGGAAGAATTAACCAAAAACAAAACACCAAACTCACTGCCATTGAGTTGATTCTGACTCACAGCAACCCCTTTTGGGTTTCCGAGGCAGTAAATCTTTATGGAAGCAGATTGCTTGGTCTTCCTTCTGCGGAGCAGCTGGTAGGTTTGAACAGTCAACCTTCTGGTTAGCAGTCAAATGCCTTAGGCACTATGCCACCAAAGCTCCTTGCTTTAATTCTTAATTCCTTTCCTTAATTCTTCTTAGGAAAGAATTCTTCCTAAGAAGAATTGAGGAAAGGAATTAAGAATTAAGGGAATTCTTCTTAAGAATTAAACCTTTAAAAGAAAAGTTACTGAACTTCTTCCTCACCTGAGACTATAATTGTCTTTGGATACTTTTTCAGGATCTGATCAATACACTCCTCATCTTTGGAACATGCAAATAAGAAGCACAAAATGGGAGAGATTTTAAAAAACTCAGCTAGAATATTTAGATGCACTGTCACTCGGGGCCGAAAGAACGGCAAAGGAAGAGACATTTTTAAAAATCCAGGCATATTTTAATAGCTTTGGCCTCTAGATTTTAATCTTAATATTCCTTTTAGGCCAAGAGAGCTCTTCCCTAAACCTACACACCAACTATGAACTAAATGCATTGTTTAATCAAGTGGTCAAATGCACAGAGAAGTCAAGTTTACCGATTCTCTCCCCCACAGAAAGTCCTTCCAAGCAAGCGTGAAGACAAATGTGCACCTCAGCCATTTCACATGCTTTGAAGGATGCTGTATGTTAAAGGGAAGTTCCAGGACCTCTGGCTAAAGATGAAGAATTGAACACAAGTATTTCCCTGCTCTTGCCTAAACCAAAACACCACTATAAACAAGGGAAATAAACAAATACACAAGCCTACAAGGGAAAAAAGAAAAAACAAACAAACAAACAAACAAACAAACAAAAAAAGC